ATTCTAGAGAAAAATTTCACAGAATTCTACGTGTAAATTTCCCTTTATTTTAATTATAGACATTTAACATCTTTAAAAATGTGCTTCACTTCTGTTTAAATTTTTATTTGCAAATGTTATGTAAAAAGAACATGTCATAGCCATTGTTTAATTTTTAGCATTTTAGCAATGAATTTTGAATAAATAGCTAATCTCTACTGTAAACATCTTGTTTTGTTTTTTTTTTATTTTGATCTAGAGAAGAGCGAACCATATTTCTATTTAAGAATTAAACTAGGGGAGGTAATACATTACTAAAGTAATGCGTTCTTACATTGATATCCAGCAACACATATAGTCAAACAATGATTTACACAACAAAACAATAATTTATATACAACAAAACAATAATTTATATACAACAAAACAATAATTTATATACAACAAAACAATAATTTATATACAACAAAACAATAATTTATATACAACAAAACAATAATTTATATACAAACAAGCAATGTTTTACACATAACAAATAAATTATTTACACACAACAAGACAAAGGCATACAGACATAAATGTAATTTACAGACGACAAAACAACGATTATATCTATCAATACCTCAAAATTTATCTCACTTTTTCTAACCACAAAAATTATTTACCATCAACTAATTAACTAATAAGTTATTTTTTTCCATTGATTCGCGTATCGTTTTCGACTATGAAAAATTTCGCAAAGTTTCAACTTGATCTTAGAATGGCAGTTTACAAAATTTGTACCAGACAGACAAACAAAATGAGTCTGTATAAGCTTTTTATTTTAAAAAAAAACACATGCTCTCTCTTTTTTCTCTCTCTCTCTCTCTCTCTCTCTAAAAGTCCAACTAGCGAAATCCATGTAATAATTCCAAATCTGTCTAGCTTATCTTTTCCTGATTTACCGCTGGCACTAAATATTGTAGAGATAAAACTGAAGCAGTGTTGCTACGGTAATTGTCTCACACATTGCTTATCAGATAGTAATTGTACTTCGCACGCAATATATTGTAAATGTGCAGTATATAACTGACTGGAAATTCTGTACTACCGTCAGATCAGAATCACATGAGATAAGTGGTAAATGCTTAATACTCTTATACTTTCTAAAAATATTAGGACGAACTTTTTCAAAGCGTTACATTTCACTTACATATATAGCATTCTTTCTAATGGTGTGTTCTTAAACAAACGTCCACTTGCATTATTTATCATTGCTAATAAGATTAAGTCGATTACAAATATTTTAAACATTTGTATAAGCTTATGTACATTGTTTGAACTACCCATTGGACTATTTCCAAAAATAGTTAAAAGTATAAATTGTATCTTCTTATGATTCACACAACATGTAAGAAATGATAATGTCAGAAAAAAAAAGTTTGAACATACGTAAATTCCTCTCCGCCCCCTACCCCAACAATAAAACAAAAAGAGGGGTGGGGGTAGCTTGGAGATGTTCTAGGATTTACACCATCATTACGTGCTGTCCTGTAGAATTAAGACGTCAAACTACGTTAAGATACAACTTACCAAGCATCTCATCTGTAGATATGAGATTGACTTTGTAGCATCCTTCTGTTGTTCTGATAACACAAAATCATTATGGACTTTAAATTTCTTTATTTCGACTCAAAACAATCTTCTTCATTAATTATACTTTTTAAATGTTTCAGTTAAATGAAAAATTGAATTTTTTTTTTTTTTTAGTTTTTTTTTAACTTAGTGGAACAGGTTTATGAAAACTAAAGAAATATATTTTATTGATAACTAAGAAATATATTTTATTGATAACTAAAGAAATATATTTTATTTTGATTATTTCAATAGTGATTGTATTTTTCTATTCGTTTTTAATTTGCATTTGTTTTTGTTGTAGTAGTTTATGTTTATATAAGTTTAATTTTGATTTTGTTTACAAAGCTATTTTAATGCTTTATTTCTTCTTGAAATCTAGCATTCTGGGCAGGCGAAATCGAAAAACAATATTTAAATTGTTTCTGAAAACTTTTTGGTTTTAGTGTGTATTTAAATAATTTTTTGGGGACATCAGACAATCAAAATGCAGCCGTAATCAAGCTACGTCTGGAGAATTGTCATCTCCCGCATCCCTTATAGACTCCCTTACGACCTGCAAAGGGAAGGAAGGCAAGCTCAAAGTGGACAAAGAAAACATTTCAGGGACATGCTCGAAGAGTCTTTGAAAGAATTTAGCATAGACCTTGCCACCTGGGAGATGGAAACACATGACAGAGTACTATGGCGTCGCGCAGTGAGAACTGTAGAGAAAAAAACAGCTTGGCAGAAGAAGAAAATCGAGGCACCTGGCTCCAGCTTCAGCTACAGCTGGCAAAGCTTTGCACATTGTGTAGCTGAATAGTCTGGTCTCACAAATGTCTCGCCAACCGAGACCATTCGTTAAAAAATTCCTCAAAACTGACCTGCGACGTCATAACCTGTGGGTAGTTAAGACCAGTAGCTCGTTGTCACGTGGTACAGAGTTTTGACATGGCAACGAGCTATCGGTCTCCAATGCTCACAGGTAACGACCGTGCAGGTCAGTGTTCAAGCCTTCAATGACGATTGGTCTCGCACAAGCCACATGTGGAGAAACTTTAACAAAAGTGGTCATCATCGTATTAAGATGGAAGAACTGCACATATTAACAGAATTACATATTATGTTAATACATAAACAAAATAATTAGAAATAACAAGATCTATCTCTTTCAGAGTGGTGAAATATTAATTTCAAAATGACACTTCACTTGTTGACTGTTCTACTGCTGCTTATTCATGGTCTTGCTACTGGCATCGATGTAACTGATAACGAGCAAACTGGTAATGAATTGAAGGAAGCGCCAACGGTAATTAGTGTTTTCTTTATTATTAAGCTTGATAGTGTAAATAGTAACTGTTTTAGTTTACATTTATTTCTGGGCATTAGACTTACTTAGACTTAGATCATCCGCCGCCATTCGTTGCAACATGTTTTTATAGAAATCGGTGTCGATCAATTTCTGCAGCCGCTTCCAGCTGAGGTTCACTGTCCTCGGGTCTTTCCGAAAGGCGCGACCCTGTTTGCGTTCACCAGGTATCAGCCTCCAAGTCAGTGCTACTCTTAGAATGCGCGATTCATTCTGTCGGAGGACATGTCCCACAAATCTCAAGCAATGCTCGGTCACAACTCTATTAACTTTTGGGGTGTCCGTTCGGCATATATTTTTTTTTAGTTTATGAGCCGAGCTCTCTGAGTGGCTCTTAAAATTCGTCTCTGGGTAACATCATTTAGCCTTTGGTTGCTTGGCGTCACCATCATGTCTTGTATGCAATGCAACGTCGTCAGCAAGGTCCAAGTCCTTCAATAGAGTCAGTTCACGCCATGGAATTCCGAAGGCAGTTTGGTTCATTGTTCTCCTCACTTTTGTAGTCGAAGGGTAGAAGGAAGTGGAAGGGAGACAACATGCATACCTGTTTCTCTCTCGATGTGAAAGAACTCGGTTGTTTCTTTCTTCTGTTTTAATGCAACAGCTAGATTGACTTTAGAGATGCTGTAGGCTCTGGACGAATTTTTCAAAATATATAATTTTCTCACTATTTCCTATAATGATACACGGTGGACACTATTGGAAGTATTCAAAACTGATCATTCTCCGTTCTTGGTATTCCAGACTTCGTTCTATGATGATTTTGGGGCATTGCCGCTAGTAAATAAGACATGGGTTAGGCACAGTAATTTTCTTTATTGATTTTAATTTTCATCGAAATAATCCTTACCGTACTTAAAATATAATGCAAAGACTTGTTTTCATAGATAAAATAATATAATATAAAATAATATAATATAAGTTAATGTAAGTTCTATAAGATTGTTTATGTCGGATGTGGAAATAGTTATAGACACTCTACTACCTAACAAATTCTTTCACTGGCATGTATCTCAAATAGCACCTGGCAACTGGTCCATCTCCTGGCCTTCTGGCATAACTAAAATAGATATTGGGTCATGCGGAACTGCGACGAGTAATATTAGGGTCGAAGTCGAGCAAGTGGCGCTTAAGCCGGTAAACTTCAGGCAAGAGAATTTCGTTAGCATCGGCTGGCTACTCACGTGGGAGAAGGGAAAGTCTAAATCCACCCCTATGCTTCTTTGTGATGGATTCAAACTTGAGAAAGACTTCGGGAGTCAGCCCCAAGAGAAACTCAGGAGCCGCGGATACTTAAGCAGCTTGTAGCACACAGAGGTACACTTTGGAAGAACCCGCGACGACGCCGATCCCAAACAGTATTTATTATTGACTTTACTTTAAACGAACAGCCACATGGATAGAGAAAGGGGGGGGGGGGGTAGGCTGCTGTGTGGGCGACAACGATCCGACCATAGCCAAGGGTCAAACTTTCATTTCATTCTATGAGATAAGCAAAAGTCATTCCACTTCAGAATGAAGCCAACAACAATATGAAGTAAAATAAAATAAAATAATAATATAATATAATATAATATTTCAGACTGCACTCCAAGAAATCGATTCAGTTGACAATGTGAATGACGATGTCACACTGGCCAGGAACAAGAAAGCTCTGATGGCAACGTTGAAGTTTGTAGTTGATTCATTTTGTAAATTGTTAAAAATATTTGGCAGACGAAGTATCCGCGATGATCTTGATGTTGTTCACACCGAAAAGGAGGAGATTCAAACCGATAAAAGAGCCTTGACCCTTGCTACCCTTGTCACTGTTGGTAAAGTTATCTGCACTGCTAATACAGCAGTCAACATTCTGAATAACGTCAGAAATTTTTGCCGTGTGATCAACGCTAATAAGAGAGACATCCAGAGCCCCGAAAGTGTCATCGATGAAGAGGAACATCAGACAGAGAAAAGGAATTTTAATTGGTTGTTAAATAGTGCTCGAGAGATTTGCAAATGGTTAGATCGTATTGGGAGGGACACTGAGAATGTGGAGGACCTCTACTCGGGCAAGGAATATCAAGTCGATAGAAGGGATTTTAAAGAGATTTGGTAGTTTTTAAAACATCATTTGAGACTGTCACTAGTAATGTAGATTTTTACGAAAAGAAAACTACACAATGTCAAGGACGCTAATTAAACTTTAGTGTTACCAACTAAAAAAGAATTGAACTCTAGTTTGAACAAAATCTCAATGCGTGGCACTCTATTTCCTTATCCAATTTCCTTTATACTTCTAGTTAGTCGATTATTTGGTTTTCTTCCATTTTGAAATTATTTTATACTACAATAAAAGAGTTTTGAAAGTTGAACTCAGCAGTGTCAATACGTGCTCGACGAACTCATTTCTGAATTCGCTTCTATGCAAACTTATTTATAGGCTAATATTGTCTCATTAGTTAAAGTAGTTAATTTTGCGCTCTCCAAAATACTATTTTTTTATTAACTATGATACACACACACACACACCCACACACAATTAATTTGAATAAAGGTAAAACATGTCAACGTGTTTTGATTTAGTGTATGTGTGTTGGGGTTTGTGTGTATGAGTGTGTGTGATTGGCCCTTACAAAAATCGATTTAGGTTTAAACTTTTGTTTAATAAAAAAAAAAAGCAATTAGTAAAGTTTTAGACTTAAGATATTCAAAACACTATAAGTATGACAAAACAGAGACAGTCAACTTCTCGTGTTATAGAGCGATCTGTTTCAGAATTTTTGTATTTGTTTTAATTTTGACCTTACTATCTATAGGGCAGATGATGTAAAGATTTTCTTGTTTCTAGGGCAGACGTCTAACAAGGTAGTCATGCACCGCCTTTATTTTTCCCAATTATTCTCACATACCTCTAAAAGTTGGTTGGACTCAAGGGCGTCCTCAAAATCACGAAATGGAAAATCCCAGTCTTCAACGTGATTCAAACCTGAGACCTCTCGATTCGGAAGCCAAGCGATTTACCACTCAACCGTCACGACGCGTCTTATTCAAAATACAAATATAAAAAGGTTACAGGGACAGTTTGTGTGAAAACGCAAACTCAAAATCGGCCCCCGAAGTGGTCCGCTCAGGCAGTTCAAAAAGGCAGGTTCCAATATTTTCAGAAAGAATATCAGAAACTATAGTTTGTAGTTTATAAACTATCAAGAACTTTAATCCTATCTCCTGTGGATACAAAAAGAAGGGACAAACTCTTGTCGCAAGTGTTACCGATACTGTTGTATTGTTAGCTCGACTAACGACTTAATACCACAGGATACGGAGACTTACTAATGTTATTATTATTTCATTGTTAATATTCATATGTATTCAATGAATTATAGTTATGAAGATATAGTTAAATTCTAGGTGTCACTTACAAAGACCGCATCACGAAAGAAGAGTTTTACAAACAATCAATTAAATACATCCCTTTTTTACAATACATGTATTCCATTCGTACCCTTGTGGAAGCAAAAACCTAAAACCCGGGAGGGTGGACATGGATCAAGAAAATGGCTCTAACGATTTTCCTAGAAATTTGACAGTTGCTGTAATTTATTGGGAAAAAATACTAGAGCGTTGGTTCAAGGTTAAAAAAAAATAACTTTAAATTATGCTTGGCTAGAGAACGAGAACATATCTTGCGCGTATTAAACGTTTTCGGGTATTTCCGTATTCATTGAAATGTTTCATAAATTAATGTTCAGGAAAATTTTGCGCATCATCTTCTAGGTCTAGATCGTAAGGCCTTTCATTGGAACAGTGGCTAGGATGGGGGGAAGGGGGTCTAAATTTGAAAGTCCCACCTGGCACCTACTTGAGAAGGGCTCCCAAATGAATGTCCTATTTTTTTCAACATTAAATATTAAACATTACGCCACTGCCATGTAATCTTGCTATTCACCTGGAGTCAGAAATATTAGACAGCATTGATCTAGATGATGTTATTGATGCCTTAGCTGCACCAAAAGTACGAATTAAGATTTGTCACTTGTGCATTATCTCGCCAAAAAAACAACGGTATTATCCATTACATTATTTATATATATATATTTTTTTACTTGTATGCAGTACCAATTTGAATTAAGACATATGTTTATTAAGTACACTATGTCATGTCACGAAGTCGAATGTCCAAATGAAGGGGCCCCTAAAAAGGTCAACCACCCAGTGTCCTTATATCCCTAGCTACGCCACTCAATAGACTATTCTAAATTGTAGTAGATCTATACATTCACTTAACCAGGATTTTTTTTTCTCGTGAGAAAAGGGAGAAAAATGGGATTCTAAATCTAAAATACATTTGTTATTAAAAGACAAACAATCGCTCAATAAGTTATATAAGGAGGCATTTCCTTTTCGTTAGTAATAGAATTTTAAATGTTTTCTCGTTATTACACTTTATTCAACTCATGAAACCTGTATGGGTGGGCTTCAAAACTTGGTAACGGATCTCAAACACGGCTCAAAAGTTTTGCTTAGAAATGTTGACAGTTGCTGTGTATCGTTGGAAAAACAAAATTATTAGCTCGTCATCCACACTAGGAAAACTCTAGTTTGACCGTTATAATTTTTCAAAGTGTGAGCAGGTCAGGCATTAAAATGCTCAACATTAAAATTTACCAACAGTAGGCAGATGTCAGCGCTACTGGGTGGGCTCAATCTGTGCACCTCGGTATGGTGACCAAGGGGCCATGAGTCGCCTAAGTAACCAGACATACTAGCTATACTAACCTAAACTAAATGAAAACAAGATAACAAACTTTAGTTTAGGATAAATAAACAAAACGAAACTTTATTTAGATATGCAGAAAAATAAATCAATAATAAAATATAATATATAAACTATAACGAAAACAACTAATACTAACTAAAGCACACTGAATCTATGCCACTAAAAATTAGCCAAACCAACTATCTAACACAAACTGATCAAAACAACTATCTAACTAAAGAGAACTAAATCACTACCAGACAACTATTATACTAGACCTAGATCTACACCAACACACTACAATAAACTAGTCTAGATCTACAATATTCTACTTCTATAACCAACTCATAACTAAAACTAAAACAAGAACATCTGAGTCTTAGTACGTTACTATTAGCATTCACTAAGAACAGAAACAGACTATATACTATAGCTTAGGCAACACTACAAAAGCAAAATAACACTAGATTCTAGATCTACAGCAAGGGGTTACAGCAGAGTAATAGCAGTTAAAACAGCTGAGTAATTGCAGCAGCTAAAAGCAGCAGTAAAATTAGCCTGCAATACATCAAATCATATATTCTATTAGGTCTAGAAAACTCAAAGCAGGACATGCTAAAAACATAAACTGCCAACTAGAAAATAAAACTAAATTAAAATATATCTAGCATATTTACACACAGTGTGACATAGATCTAGTAAAAGAAAATATAAAATAGTTACAAACTTACAGGCCGTCCCAGGTACAGAAATATAAAATAATTACACGACAGACCACAAAGATCTTCTGCTGTCACACAGACATACTATACTGACCACTGGTCAACTGTCCACTGAACTGTTTTTAAAACAGCGTGGCATCACTTTTTATACACCCCACCCTAATCTACACAAAAAGCGGAGGTACAAATAATAAATTTGGCACTAGCCTATAAAAATAGAATACATAAAAATATTAGTGATGGGCAAAAGTTAACTAAAAAGTTGTTAACTTTTAGTTTAACTAAAAAAAATTAGTTAAGGCCAAAGTTTAATTAAAAAAAAAAGTTTAGTTAAAATCCTAGTTTAATTAATTTTTTTTAGTTACAAACTAAAAAGTTTAATTACAAATTTTACAAACTTTTTTAACATACATACCAATAAATATTTAGATCTATGTAATTTGGAGAATATATATAATGACTAATAGAGAGGAGAATAAACTAGATGGTGCACAGGTCACTAGAAAGCCTTTTGACCTTTACCGTATAATGCTCGCTAGTCCCGCCAATTCAAGGTATTTGAAAGGCGAGAAAAATAAACGTGTTCATTATATTTCTAGCAAGTTTCGCTGCTTGATAAATCCTGATAATTCCTTGCTTCTATAGATCTACAATTTGCTGCTTTTTATTAAACACCAGTGTGTTCCTGTATAGCTGCAGGCAAAGCATTTTGCTTTCCTATAGATCTAAAAGAAATGTCGACTCTTTTTATTTAAAACTTTTTACTAGATAGATCTAGAGTTAGAGTCTAGTGACGTCTAGTCTATTAGTATTAGTTTATTACTACTATTAGTAAGTGTCACCACCTCAAAGTTGGTTCCATAGTGTAGAAACCCTATTTCAATATTGTAAATGTTATTTCTATATTGTGAATGTTATTCACAACTTATGTTGCCCTAAGGTGAACACTTTTGACCTTAAGTGAACCAGGTTTAAGAGCAGTCAGTCAATATAGGGAGTTGGTAGCAAGCACTTGATAGAGTCACTTGATATAGTCAGTTGAGTCAGTTATTTAAAGAAGTTGGTTATAGATTAGTTACAAAGTTATTATTTATTCGCCATATTTCTAAAGAGGATTAATACTGATCATTCCTAAATTGAGTTGTGTATCATATTCACTATGTGGTGTTATTACTTAAATTAAACTTATTTGTGTCTGCTACAACAAGTGTCACGTCCTTATTCTGTGCATTATAATATGAACCCAATGTCACCACCACGCCTACATAGATAAACCGACAATAATATCACAGCATCAAAACATAACCACAGTGACATCTATGATGTCAAAAATACAGCGGTGACAGTAAGTATTAGATCTATAGTCATAATAGTCTATATTTAATTATTTTAGTCTCATAGTCTTAAGTAGAGTCTAACTCTTAGTAGTCTTAGATCTAGATGTAAATTTAAAATTATAAGTCAATAAATTATTATTGAATAATACAGATCTATTAATTGAAATCTATATTACTTTACTTTATTAGACTAGATCTAGATCTATTAGTATTTAAGTATTAGTTTAGAGATTCTACTATTCTAGAATTTGAGTCTAGATTAGATCTAGATATATCTAGATTACTTATTACACTAAGACCTAAGATGCATAGATGATAGATCTATAATGACTATAATACTAACTAATAATAGTCGTCACTATACTAGAGCTAATACTAAATTAACTAAATCTAGACTAGATCTACATCTACTTCTATTATAATTATACTTATATCTACTATCTAGATCTATTAGATCTAGATCTAGTATTATCTACTAGAGTATATAGATCTAAATAACCATATCTAGTTATAATCATATTGTCATAATTATAATAATCTAAAATCTCTAGATCTAGAGTTACTAAGATATCTACTAGACTCTATCACTAGATTTTAGATCTAGTAGTACTAGTAGTAGTAGTAACTAGTATTTCTTAGATTATTTTTAGATTAAAATATTAATTATTTGATCTAAGTCTAGTAGCTAGATCTAATAATTCTAGAACCAGATTATATTTCTGATCATTTCATTTGTAGAAGATATTAGATCCAG